CTTTTTAGCTTTAACATATTGAAAGAATTCCTAAGAATATCAGCTTTTGTAGAAATTATTAGGGGGAAAATAATGAATCAACGCTTCTTTGCAAACACAAGTGAGCATAAAATGGTGAATAAATTAAGAAAGGATCTTTTTATCTGAAACTAGGGCATAAATCAAAATCAAATAGTCAACTTCAAACAGACTAAAACTAGTCTTTACTACATCCCCTTTGTGCAGTGGCAATTGTAAAAACAATGACACAATTAAGACCATCATGTGTTAGGATAGATTATCCTCAACTTCTCCAGAGCCATGATTGACCATTTGCACGATAGGAGAGATATACTGTGATTCATTATTACCATTTTCAGAAAATACATCCCAAATGAATAATAGTCGTCTTCCCTTCTTCTTAAATTGAAGCCTTGAAGTTGCAGATTTTTCGCTAAAAACAAAATCTTTTTATTTTTATACTAAATTAATATCAGACAAGATCGACATAATGTAAAAATAAATTGTAAAATCTTGATATTATTTAGACAAAGTTTAAAATGCTTCTTAATGAAATTTTTTTAAGAACTTTCTAACTTGAATAAGTGTCTAATACACAATTTATAATACATTTAAAACTTCTCATCAGAGATACTCTCGAAACTTGAAAAAATTAATATTTGAAGAAGCAAAAGATTCTAGAAAAATAATTTTTTAATTATTTAATATTAAGGTTTATAATTTATTAAGTTCACTATTTTTTGTTTAAATATTGAATCAGAAACTAAAAGAAAAACTTTAAAATTTAGCTTTGAATAGATTTTACATTATCATTTCAAAAAAATAACACAAGATCCCAGTTAAAATTCATTTTATCATTCAAAGCAGATGAAATTTATTAAAAAAGAATTTGAATATCAAGCAAAATATTCAGCAAAAATTTGGCAATTGTACATTCTCCTCTAATTCTCTTTTATTTTGTTGCATTACTACTCACTCTTCATTTGTTTGATCAAAGCCTTGGTTTCTTCAACCATAGCCATATTCTAGATATCGATTTTCTCTATTAAGCATTTAATGCAAAGATATTTATCTTCATCAACCGTTGACTGCTTTAGATCTACTGTCTTTATTTTTAGCTTATGTTTTTGGCATATTTTTTTTTCTAATTCAGAAGACATTTTTTTTTAATTATAATAAGATTTTAATTTAATAAATCATTTTTATATACTTGGAATTAAGAATTCATCATAGTATAATACGATTTGTGAGAAACTGATTTTATAAAATTTATACTACCTAAAGGAGTAATAAATAAGAATATAATTAATTTATTTTAATACTTTCAAGATAGAATCGATTAAATATTCAATCAATTATACTTGCAAATAACTTACTTAAAAATATCGCCTGTTATATTATATCTTTTATTCTTTTTGTAGAATTTATCACATGGGAATGGAAAGAAAGTTTAATAATAAAGATTAATCATTTTTTAATAATTTTTAAGTTTTTGAAACAAATATTTGATATTGGAAATGAAAAAGAATCAAAATTAAGAGATATAAAATATTACAACTAAAAATGATTCTAAGCTTGTTTCATATTGAATAGCAATTCACAGTATGAGGAATTTATTCAAAATAATTTGGAAATGGAGTAAATTCTAATTTTAATTCATGAACATTAATTATTACTTAGGAAAATTCATTTAATAAAATTACCTTTGCTGAAAAATAGAAAAATTATTTTTACTAAAAGAGACTTAAAATTCTTCTCTTTAATAAATTATTTGTTAGGTAATATTCTTAAATGATTCAACTGAGATTAAAATGTTTCAAGATAACTATATTATAAGTTTAGTTAAAGTAGCTTTAAAGTGTACAAACAGAGAGAAGATTCGTTTATAGTATGCTAACCCTCAATATAGAGTTATTTAAGGTTTTCTCAAAAAGGAATTAGTTATTGAGTAATTTAGATATTTACTGATGTTTTAAATGAGCAAATAGAATTGAAAGGACTTTCGGTTTAAGAATTTTTAAGATTCTTTTTTTTTAAGGTTGTTTTTTAAAATATTTTTGGGAAAAGCAGTAGGACAATCTGATGGTTATACACAGTTCTACAAAATTATTTCAAATCTAAGGAGATAACAAAATTTGTACCTCAGAAATAACATAAAACTATGATAGGCCTGAATTAAGCATAATTAAGTATTAGGGAAGAATTTCATTGAGAGTCGTTAGTTATATGATTAATAGTATTAGACTTTTTTCTGTAAATAATTAGGAAATGAAGGAATAATTGATAGAATTAAATATTAAAGGTACTAAGTTCAAAAGTCAATTGTTAACCACCAGAAGAGATCACCGATTTAATGACAAC